ATTTTTTATTCCTTCCTAATTCAGTCTTGGAAAATTGCATGTTTCTAGGAATTTATCCACTTCTGGGTATTTCATTTTGTTGGTGTATAATTTTTCATAGTAGTCTCATAATTCTTTGTATTTCTGTGGTGTTGGTTGTAATTTCTCTTTCATTTGTGATTTTATTTGAGTTTTTATTTTTTCTTGATGAATTTGGCTAGCAGTTTATCAATTTTGTTTATCTTTTCAAAGAACCAGCTCTTTGTTTCATTGATCTTTTCTATTGTTTTTTTTTAGTCTTTATTTTATTTATTTCTGCTCTGATATTTATTAATTCCTTCTGCAGACTTTGGGCTTCTTCTTTTTCTAGTTAGATTGTTTGAGATTTTTTTCTTGTTTCTTGAGGGTAGGACTGCATTGCTATAAACTTCCCTCTTAGAACTGCTTTTACTAAGTCCCAAAGATTTTGAACCATTGTTGTCCATTTTCATTTGTCTCTGGGTGTTTTTTTAATTTCCTCTTTTATTTCTTCTTTGATGTATTGGTTGGTTAGTAGCATGTTATTTAGCCTCCACATGTTTGTCTTTTTTCTAGTTTTTTTTCTTGTAATTGATTTCTAGTTTCATACCACCATGGTTGGAAAAGATGCTTGATAGGATGTTAATCTTCTTTAATTCATTGAAACTTATTTTGTGGCCTAACGTGAGAACTATCTTGGAGAACATTCCATGTGCACCTGAAAAGAATGTTTATTCTGTTGTTTTTGGATGGGATGTTCTGTATATATCTGTTAAGTCTCTCTGGTCTAATGTACCACTCAAAACCACTGTTTCCTTATTGATTTTTTGCATGGATGATCTATCCATTGATGTAAATGGGATTTTAAAGTCCTCTACTATTATTGCATTACTATCAATTTCTTCCTTTATGTCTGTTAATATTTGCTTCATATATTTAGGTCCTCCTATATTATGCTTAGATATTGTTATATTCTTGTGCTGGATTGATCCCTTTATCATTATGTAATGCTTTCTCTTGTTACAGTCTTTGTTTTAAAGTCTGTTTTGTCTAATATAAGTATTGCTGCCCCAGCTTTTTCTTTTTCTTTTATTTTTCTTCCATTCTCATGAAATATCTTTTTCAACCCGTTCACTTTCAGTCTGCATGTGTCTTTAGGTCTGAAGTGAGTCTTTTGTAGATAGCATATAGATGGGTCTTATACTTTTTATCCATTCAGTCATCCTGTACCTTTTGAATGAAGCATTTATCCATTTACACTTAAAGTAATTATTGATAGGTGTGCACTCATTTCCACTTTGTAAATTGTTTTCTGGTTGTTTTGGTAGTTCTTCTCTATTCCTTTCTTCTCTTTCTCTTGTGCCTTGTGATTTGATGACTTTTTTTTTTAGTGTTATGCTTAGATGCCTTTGTGCTTATTTTTGTGTACTTATACATTTTTGGTTTGTGGTTACTGTAAGGCTTATATATAACATCCTATGTATGTGACAATCTATATTAAGTTGGTGGTCATTTAAGTTTGAACATATGCTGAAATTACTACATTTTTATTCCCCTCCTCCATGTTTTAATGTATATGACATCATATTTTATATCTTTTTATTTTCTGTATCCGTTAACTAATTTTTGTAGATATAATTAATTTTATTGCTTTTGTCTTTTACCTTCATACCAGCTTTATAAGTGATTAATCTACTACCTTTCTATGTTTGCTTTTACCAGTGATATTGTTTCCTTTCATAATTTTCCTCTAGTTATGACCTTTTATTTTCCTCTTAAAGAAATCCCTTTAATATTTCTTATAAGGTTGGCTTAGTGGTGATGGACGTTTTCAACTTTTATTTGTCTGAGAAACTATCTCTCCTTTAATTCTGAACAATAACCTTGCTGGATAGAGTATTCTTGGTTGTAGGTTTTTTCCTTTCAGCACTTGGAATGTATCATGTCACTCTCTTCTTCCTGCAGAGTTTCTGCTGAAAAATCTGGTAATAGCTTTATGAGGGTTTTCCTTATATGTAACTATTTGCTTTTCTCTTCCTGCTTCTACAATTCTCTTTAATTTTTGCCATTTTAATTGTTAAGTAGCTTGGTGTGGATGTCCTGGGTCCATCTTGTTAGGGGCTTTTTGTGCTTCCTGGACCCGGATGTCTTATTTTCTTCCCCAGATTAGGGAAATTTTCAGCTATTATTTCTTCAAATAAGTTTTCTGCCCCATTCTCTCTTCTCTTTTGGGGACCCCTTTAATGTGAGTGTTAGTACACTTGATGTAGTCTCAGAGGTCCCTTAATCTATCCTCATTTTCAAAATTTTCTTTTTGCTGCTCAGCTTGGGTGCTTTCCACTACCTTGTCTTCCAGATTGCTGATCTGTTCTTCTACATCCTCTAATCTGCTGTTGATTTCCTCTGTTATATTTTTCAGTCATTATTCCACTCTGATTTGTGCCTTTTTCTGTTTTCTCTGTGTTGATATTCTCTCTGAGCTCCTCCACTCTTCTCAGTGAGCACCCTATGACCGTTACTTTGAACTCTTCAGCAGGTAGACTGCCGATTTCTTTCGCTTAGTTCCTTTCCTGAGGTCCTACCTGTCTTGTTTGGAGTACCTTCTTCTGTATCCTCGTTTTGTCTGACTCTCGGTGTTGGCTTCTGTGTATTCGGTAGGGCCTTTTGTAGAAGGCATCCTGTAGGGCCCAGTAGTCCTGTCTCCCTGCTCACCAGAACCAGGCACCCAAGGGGTGTCCCTTGTGTGGGCTGTCTGCACCTTCCTGTTGTGACTGGGCCACAACTTCTGTGGCACACTGGTGAGCAGGGCTGGCCCCCAGCCCAGCTAGCTGCAGTGACCAGCTGCAACTGCCGTGGGTACACTGGTGGGCAGGGCTGGCCCCCGGTGCAGCTGGCTTAGGAAACCCAGGTATAGCTTCTGCAGGCGTGCTGGTGTGCGGGGTTAGCTCCTGGCACAGCTGGCTGAAAGGCCTGGCTGTAGCCGCTGCAAGCATGCTGGGGTGTGGTGCTGGCTCTCCGCTTCTCCAGGGCAAGAGTCACTTTGGAGGGGTGCCAGTCCCAGCCAAGGCCGCCCGCTGGGTGTGCTGGGACAGGAGCCGCTTTGGAGGGACACCAGCTGGGACAGGCGGGTTGGGTGGTGTGGCTCCCCAGGGGAATGCTGGTGGGGGACAAGCAATGCCAGCAAGGTAGATGAAGTATCAGAAGTGGCTCCCGCAAGCATCCAGCCAAGCTAGGCTGAAGGAGGGCAAGAAAAATGGCGTCACCAGCACTTCCGTTCCTGGAGAAATTGCCTACAGATCCCTGCCCGTTCAGCAAATGTGCTAAAATTAGTAAGTCTTCTTCATGTACACGCCAGGTGCTCTTCAAACTGCTCCTCCCGTGCTGGGGCTCAGACTGAGTGATACAGTGCTCTGGCCCTTTAAGAGCAGACTCTAGGTTTCCTATAGCCCTCCAGCTCTCCCAGAGTTAGGTCTCATTGATTTTCACAGCCAGACATTATAGGGGCTCATCTTCCCAGTGCAGATCCCTAGGATGGGGGGTGCCCCGTGTGGGGCTTAATCCCCTGGCTCCTCAGGGAGGACCTCCGTGCTTGGGATAGTCTTCTCACTTGTGGTGGGAAACGCACCGCGGTGCCAGGGTTTTGGTCCCTGACCGCATCTCTGCCCCTCCTCCCCTTCTTGATAGGGCCTTCTCTTTATGTTCTTTAGCTGTGGAATACCCGTTCTGCTGGTCTTCAGGTGGTTTTCACAGTGAGCTGCAGTCTGGTATTTGTTGCCCCCAGTGTCTGTGGGAGAAGGTGAGCTCAGGGTCCTCCTCCACCATCTTTCCCTGCTCTTCTTCCATGTCTCCCAGATTGTTATGGAATGCAGGACCTTGTGTGTGACAGGATAGTAGTGACTGAGGTAAATAGTATTTATTTATGCTACCAGGTCATTAGTGTGGAGTGTCGAGCCAACCCAGTTGGGAGTTGAGTGGTAGGGCACTGCTACCTCGTGCTAGTATGGGGCCTGGAGTGCTGCAAGGCTCTTCTGTGTTCCTGCTCTCAGGAGGGCCTGGGGCTCCCAAAAGGGGGCTGGGGTCTTTCTCTACACTCATCTCTTAGCCTGCCTCAGGTGGTAGGCTGCTGCTGTGACTTGGGGCAGGCTCATGGAGGAGGTGTTGGATGGATCAGGGGTTTCTTGAGGTTCCTCGGCTCTCTTGTTGTGGCGTCAGTCTTGGGTGCCTGAACCTCATGGGTGGGGCTTTCTCAGATGTTCTCGTGTCAGTAGAGTGGGATACCCTGGTTCTTTTCCACCTCTGTGCACTGAGCATGTTGGGAATAATTTGCACATTGTTGAGAAGGGCGGCTCCAAAAGCTATTGGCATTTTGTTGTTCCAACTCCAGCATACTCCAGAGTGATCTCTGAAGATTGTAGCTCTGACCCCACCCCTGCTGAAAAGCCCTCTAGCTCACCCCATGGCCCTCAGGTCACAGGCTTTGAGCTCTGCAGCCTCGAGCCTCACACCCTGGCCTTCCTTCAGTTACTTAAGTCTCGTCCGTCTCCCAGGCCCCAGACCATCCGTTTTGAGGGCAGATGTCTTGTTCCCTGTGTATTGCTAGAGATGAAATGGTGCCTGGCACGTGGTAGGGGCTCAGCAACTGTCTTAAAGGGGTGAGCACTGAGTGCAAGCCCAGAAAGCCCTGACCTCCCCTGCATGCCAGCAGCCACGCACCTGGTGCTGGCCTCCAGGTTCACCTACACATGTCACAGACAAGCCTCTCTGGGGACCACCCCACCTCCCAAGTTTGGGGAGGAGCCCCTGTGCCCCCAGCCCTGGCCTCACAGTTCCCCAGGGCAGGGTCATGCCGGCCAGGCCTGCCCCACCGGGCCCTGGGTGGGCACTTGGTGAGCCTGCCAGGGAACCTTTGCTGCATGGCTGCAGGTGCCCCAGCTTTGGGCTGATTCTGCAATGTGCATGCCGAGTTAAAATTCTAAAGCTTTCTTTTCCTGTTTTAGGAACGGTGAATCATCACACTCCTCTCGGTGGACATACGAGGACTTGGGCTGGAAGCATGTGGCGCGTCCTGCGAGGCTGGAGGGGAGGGCGTCTGGGCCCCTGGGGAGCCGTGGGGCAGCAGCGGCCCCCCAGCGTGCGCGCGCTGGCGAGCGCGGGCTCCCGGCGAGGGGACGAGTACACTCACGTGGTGGTGGGTGCGGGCTCCGCGGGCTGTGTGCTGGCCGGGCGGCTCACCGAGGACCCCGACAAGCGCGTGCTGCTGCTGGAGGCCGGGCCCAAGGACGTGCTCGCGGGCAGCAAGCGGCTCTTGTGGAAGATCCACATGCCCGCGGCCCTCGTGGCCAACCTGTGCGATGACAGGTACAACTGGTGCTACCACACGGAGCCGCAGCCGGGCCTCGACGGCCGGGTGCTGTACTGGCCGCGCGGCCGGGTCTGGGGGGGCTCGTCGTCGCTCAACGCCATGGTCTACATCCGTGGCCACGCCGAAGACTACAACCGCTGGCAGCGGGAAGGCGCGACGGGCTGGGACTACGCCCACTGCCTGCCCTACTTCCGCAAGGCGCAGAGCCACGAGCTGGGCGCCGGCACGTACCGCGGCGGCCAGGGCCCCCTGCACGTGTCCCGGGGCAGGACCAACCACCCGCTGCACCGCGCCTTCCTGGAGGCGGCGCAGCAGGCCGGCTACCCGCTCACCGAGGACATGAACGGCTTCCAGCAAGAAGGCTTTGGATGGATGGACATGACCATCCACCAAGGTAGCGCACGGCTCCCGTACCGCCCCCCCCCCCGGCTCCTCCCCTTTAAAAAAAGGAAGCTACCCGCCATCACAGCGCCATGCCTCCTGCCCCCTTCGTGGTCAGGGAGGGTAAACTGCGCCTAGAGGAGGCCCAGATGACTGAGATCTCGCACCCCCTAGCGGCCACCGAATACAGCCCACAGCCAGTGAGGACCGATTTGGCGACAGAGACTCTGGGGCATTCTCTAGACCTCTGGTCTCTGTTGGCTGGAGAGTCAACTCTTTGACCAAAGAGCCCAAAGTCCGAAGAGACTTGCAGATGAGGAAACTGAGGCACAGAGCACCGAAGTGCCTTGCTCATGGCCGAACAGAGGCAAGGCCTGGGTCGACCCAGGGCTCCTGCCTGCCTGCGAAGGGTTCTCACCCCTCTTTATTAGCTGCTCCTGGTCTGTCATCCGGCCGAGAGCAGAGGGGGTTTTTCCACTGCCTCGTGGATATGGATTTCAGCCCAGCAAGGACTTTTGGTGTCAGCCTTCCTTCTGGGGCAGAGCTCACAGTGTCCGGGGAAGGTCAAATTCCATCTTTCACCAGCCCCGTTCCCCTGTTCAGGTACCAGGAAAGGGGAGCAGGGGCTGTGCCTGATCTTGCTCTGTCCCACAGGCAAGCGCTGGAGCGCAGCGTGCGCGTACCTGCACCCGGCACTGAGCCGCCCCAACCTCACGGCCGAGGCACAGACGTTTGTGAGCAAGGTGCTGTTTGAGGGCACCCGCGTGGTGGGTGTGGAGTACATCAAGAACGGTCAGAGCCACAGGGTGAGTGAGTTCCCGCTGGGCCGGGGCAGTGGACATGGAAGGGAACGAGCAGTCACCCTGGTGCTCGTGCTCAGTGTGGGTAGCAGTCGGGCTCTGGTCCCCAGGGCTTGGGGTGGGGGGGGATGCCATCAGGCCAGCCACCTGCAAAGAGCCCACAGTGGCCCCTGTGAGCTTCTGTCTGCCCCTCCCACCTCAGTGTAGTCCTCCTGTTCCTTCTGTACCTCTTCAGAAATTGCTAGGGTTTTTTTCTTTTTTTTTTTTTTAAAGATTTTATTTATTTGACAGAGAGACAGACAGCAAGAGAAGGAACACAAGCAGGGAGAGTGGGGGAGGGTAGAAGCAGGCTTCCTACAGAGCAGGGAGCTCGATGCGGGGCTCTATCCCAGGACCCTGGGACCATGACCTGAGGCTGAAGGCAGACGTTTAACAACTGAGCCACCCGGTGCCCCAGAAATTGCTAGGTTTATAAGAAGACTTTAAAAACCACAAATGTGAGCATGCTCCCTATTTCCGCACTACACCGTTTCCCCCTCAGCTGTGTGTCAGGATCATCCCGCATCCACGTGAAGATCCGGCTCACTGATGCTTTATTTACACCGCTTGTGTGAGTGCTTGCTTTCATGGGTCTCATTTAAGCTCCGCAGTGCGGTTTTTAAGACGGTCATCAGGGCGCGGCGGTCACACAGCGTATGTCAGCACATGACGTGCGCTTTAGTATCACGCCCCAGAGCTGCACCTGCCAAGGGCTTTTCCAGGGCGGCCCCCTGAGCATCCTCTGCCTTCCTCTAGGGGCTGGAAATGGGATCCTCAGCCGCTGCTGGGGGACTTCACGCCGAGGCCGCATTCTCGGGGTTCTTTCTGGCTTTTCAGGAATTGTGACCCGCATGCCTGTGCCTCTTCCAGGCTTACGCCAGCACGGAGGTGATTCTGAGCGGGGGTGCCATCAACTCTCCACAACTGCTCATGCTCTCGGGTGTCGGCAATGCAGATGACCTCAAGAAGCTGGGCATCCCGGTGGTGTGCCACCTGCCTGGTGAGCTCCCTTCTCCACCATTCCTCAGAGGGGGCCTCTGCTAATAAAAGGGCTTACTGGAGTTCATTAGCATGGAGTGGGACGGGGGCAACGGTCCGCATTCCACGGAATGGTCACATTCTTCCCACGACCCTCACTGGACACCTCTACTCCCCAGGGACCCCAAGTCTTTGTGTCATTTTTTTCCCCCTTCCCTGGCCCTCCTGTCCAACTGGGAGGTGATGCCCCTGCAGTAAGGAGCATCACCCGCGAAGCCTGCTGGGCCAGGCTCGGCTGTGCCCCCCGGGCAGCCCTGCGGTGAGAGGGGTCCAGGCCTTTGTGTGTTCTGTCCTCAGGACTCAGCAGCAGCCCTGACATTAAAGATGCCAACTCAGTGCTCCAGAGCATGCTTTTCATGCTAAGAGAATTATCCTAGGCCTAAAATTGATCTTACAGATGATCTTTGATACCTATTATAGGGGCTCTTACCTCTCTTAGAACCCATGCTCCCCAAAAATGACCCTTTTCGCGTGGAGGCTTCATCGTGAGAGGTCTGTGACAGCGGCCTGCCCGGCGTCCCCTTGTGCTTACATGAGCTCACGCAGTGCCTGCCCAGCACAGCAAGGCCTGCTTCCCTCCTTCCCTGGGCCCGGGTGCGGGTGGGGCTGTCAGTCCCACTGGCAAGCAGCTCGGGGAGTGGCACCTGCCGAATGCCGGGGCCCTGCCCTCAGGGAGGCTGCTGCCTGGCAGGATGGCATCGGGAGGGGTCCCAGGGCTGCCCCCAGAGGGAGTGACCAGGGCAGGTGGCTTTGGCAGCATGAGAGGATGAGACTTCACCATGAGTGGAGGGATGGAGTCCCAGGAGGTGACCTTTAAGCCGAGACCCAGGGAGGGAGCAGGGGCTGTCTTGGTGGATAAGTGGCTGGGGGTGGGGGGGAGTTTCCAAAACCCGGGGATGTTGAGAGGCCAGCGGCAGCCCGCCCCCCAGAAGCCATTTTTCCTAACCACTCGCTCCCATTCCAGGAGTGGGCCAGAACCTGCAGGACCACCTGGAGGTATACATCCAGCAGGCATGCACCCTCCCCATCACCCTGCACTCAGCACAGAAGCCCCTGAGGAAGGTCCGGATTGGTCTGGAGTGGCTCTGGAAATTCACAGGTGGGCGTGCTGGCCTGGGTCGTGGAGCAGGTCTGGGGAAGCATGGCCTCCTTCCTAAGGTGCTCAGAGAAGGCTCTGGTCTCAAGTCACTTATTCCAAGTTTAGCTCTGCCTTTTGCTTCAGCTTTCCCATCTGCAAAATGGGGATACATAGTCCTGTCTGGCAGGCTATTGTGAGGACCAGAAGCAGCGGCCCCAGGGCCAGTCCCGGGTAAGACTCAGAGCCTGGGTACCCCTCTTCCTTACATATGGACAGGGGTAGACTTGTGGCTGGACGCCATCTGGGGTCCAAGGAGCCAAGAGTAAAGGCATGGTCAGCATCCATTTCTCAGCAGTTTGCTGGCTGTTTTCGGGGTCCCAGCGTAGTGCCCAGGCCAGGAAGTGGTGCTTTGAGATCCCCTCTCAGCATGGGTTTCTCCCACACTTCCAGGTTCTGCTGTGCCAGTAAAGGCAGGTGCCCGTGGGGAGCTTATGCATTGCTGGGATCCGTGGAAAGAAACCATGTAAACGTGCTTAGTTTTAGGATCAGGATGTTAGTAAAGTGGAGGATGCCTGAGAGCTAGGAAGAAAATGGACCAAGGCCCTGGGTCTAGGCATGTAGCGTTAGAGGAACAGATGTGTCGGGCCAGGGAGACTGCAGCATGTTGAGGAAAAAGCAGGGGTGCGATGAAGAGCGCTGGATCTTGAGGGTCGGCCGGAGCACTGGCACGGAGGCCCCAGAAGCTGCCAGTGAGGAGGGGTCTGAACTGGGACAGAGGGAGGGCTGGGGGTGCTACTGCCCGGCAGATGGATCCCAGCGGAAGTCAGGGAGGCTTTCTGAGGGCCACATGGTGGGTAACGAGGAAGAGGAGGAGGGAGAGACAGGGACAGCTCGAACGTCTGACTTAGGCCATCTGTGAAAGAATCAGCCTGTCAGGGGGCACCTGGGTGGCTCACTCGGTTAAGTGTCTGCCTTCGTCTCAGGTCATGATCCCAGGACCCTGGGGTCAAGCCCCGCTTCGGACTCCTCTCTCTCTCTCTCTCTCTCTCTCACACAAAAATAAATAAGATCTTAAAAAAAAAAAAAAAAAAAAAAAAAACCTGTCGTGCATGGAGCCTGGGGCCAGGGAAGTTGGGGATGCCCAGCGACACCAGGCTTCACATTTGTCAGTGGTGGAGGAATCAGGGGAAGGCAAGGCCGAAGCCCCTTGGCGTGAGCTGATATCGGAGCCTGTGGTGTTGGGTGAGCCCACCTGAGTGAGAGAGGCCAGAGTTAAGCACTTGGGTCCAGGCACCAGAAAAGGGCCAGGAGGAGCTACTAGGAGAGGGGAGGCCGGCCCGCCTGCCACGCCCTGATTCACTCTTCTGATCCTCAGGGGATGGAGCCACGGCACACCTGGAAACAGGAGGGTTCATCCGGAGCCGGCCTGGGGTCCCCCACCCGGACATCCAGTTCCATTTCCTGCCGTCCCAAGTGATTGACCACGGCCGGGTACCCACCCAGCAAGAGGCTTACCAGGTGAGCAGGCAGCATTCTCCTCACTGCGGCGGGCCCCTGAGCAGGGAGGCACAGGAACCTGTGTCCTGCCCTCCAGCTGCTCAGTGGGTCCGAGTAGGGAGGGGAGAGGAGGAGCCTAGAATCTTCCTGAGGCCATGCCAGGAAGAGCGTGAGGCAGTCCACGTGGTACATGGAAAGGTGAGACCTGCCCCCGCTCAGGGCAGATGCTCTAGCTACCCAAACTGCTGGAAATGGACAGATGTGGCCAGTGGCCCTGGGGTTTCCAGCCCCTGAAAGTTGAAGACAATCCTATAACGCCAGGAAGCAAGAGTGAGTGATTCAGGGAGGTGTTTTTTGATCACTTGTGGGAGGGGGTAAGATGCAGACAGATGCTAACATGTGTCTGCTCTTAATTGGCTTTGGATGTGGAGCCCCATCCCACGGGAAACCCCGGGGCCTGAGCTGCCCAGTAGGGGGTGTTGAGGGAGGTCACGCTTCCTCCGGTTCTTCTAGGTGCATGTGGGGACCATGCGGGGCACGAGCGTGGGCTGGCTCAAACTGAGAAGTGCCAACCCCCGGGACCACCCTGTGATTCAACCCAACTACTTGTCAACAGGTAATTCACCACCACCTTGGTCTCCCCCAGGCCTGGGCTTGCCAGGCCATTCACTCAACGAATGAATGAATGCCTTCATGGGGTTCACATTTGTCACTGAATCTTGCCCCTGAGACACAAGTCACCCTCTCCCCCCCTCATACACTGCTGTGCGTGCCCTGTAACATAGCAGGAGGGAGCTGTGGCCTTCAGAACAACCTGCCAGAAGGTGCAGGGAGATGTGGCTGTGCGCACAGAGCGCGCAGAGCACTTGTGCTGAGGTTACTCTGAGCATCCTTCTGCAAAAGCAGATTACATTCCTGGGCCTGCCGCTTTGCCTGCAGCAAAAAGGAGCACTCCCCATTGCTCAGTAATGACTCGTGGTGTTCTCACAGCCACAGTGGTAAGAGGCAGGCTGTATACTCTTACCCTTGATTTAACCTAGGGCCTCTGGGGCAGGATGTGTCCGCCAAGGACGGTGCCTGTTTGCCCTCATGGGACTCTGCTTGGTTGCAGTCTAACTGGCTGGGATTAGGTGACAAACGACCTGGTGGCTCCGTGTCCCTGAGGTTTTCCACCCCAAGCACCCTGGTCTGTGGATCCACCAGGGCCGTGGGATCAGAGGGGTGGTAGGCGCTGACCTGTGTCCCCTCAGGCAGCTTACCGAGCCTCTCCGAGCTCAGAATCCGCTGCTAAGAGGAGTCGCCTCACCTACCTCTTTCTCGTTGACAGAAACCGACATTAAGGACTTCCGACAGTGTGTGAAGCTGACCAGAGAAATTTTTGCCCAGAAAGCCCTGGCACCGTTCCGGGGGAAGGAGCTCCAGCCAGGAAGCCACGTGCAGTCAGATAAAGAGATAGATGCCTTCGTGCGGGCAAAAGCAGACAGCGCCTACCACCCCTCGTGCACCTGCAAGATGGGCCAGCCCTCTGATCCCACGGCCGTGGTGGATCCACAGACCAGGGTGCTTGGGGTGCAGAACCTCAGGGTGGTCGATGCCTCCATCATGCCCAGTGTGGTCAGCGGCAACCTTAACGCCCCCACAATCATGATCGCAGAGAAAGCAGCAGACATCATCAAGGGGCAGCCTGCACTCTGGGACGAGGACATCCCTGTCTACAAGCCTGGGACCCTGGCCACCCAGCGCTGAGGCGGTCACTGCCCGAGAAGCCTCCTGCCAAGTCAAGAGGGTCAGCACAGCCCCTGCCCGCCATGCCCTTTCCTGAAACTGTCTAGAATGTTACAGTTCAGTGGCTGAGAATGTGTAATTGCTTAGGTTGGGAGACCGGTATCAGGCAGCGAAACAGGTTTCTTTTCCCCAGCATTTTCCTGTGGGCGCGCCCCCCCCCCCCGCCCCGCCTCCTGAAGGGGCAGTAGAGGGGACTGGGGGGCAGGGCAGTGGAGGAGTATGGCTAACTCCCGCCATGGCCTTATCTTATCTTATACTCCATGGCACTCTGCAACCCAGGGTCTTGGTCGGACATGAGGGAAGTGGTTCTCTCCCAGGGCTCCCTTTTAATTAAAGCAAGCCATTCCAGAGGCTGGGTGCTGGCTAGACGGCTCGGGGTTCTTGCGCTGGGGGGCATCCTCTGCCTCAGGCTGCCGGCTGTAGCTGAGGCCCGTGCCTGAGCCTCCAGTGTCCCCGTTCAGAGGGAAGGCTGCCTGCCTGAAGAAACATAGGCTTCTTTCTCTTCTGCTTCCTGAGTCCCCTCCCAGTTGGGTCACTCTGAGGGCCCACCTCTCCAATGCTCTGGTTCTTACTAAACAAACAAACACAGCTCAATTTCTGGACCTTGTTCAGAGAAGAATCTGGAGAGTCTCTTCACTACGATAGGTTTCCTGATTTAGCATTTTAAATGATTTTCCTGTTACCAGGGAAACCTAGAAACCTAGAGCAAACCCCACAGACCAGACCTCTGCTCCAAGCCAAAGCAGCTAGTCCAAGAGGATGCTTTCCTGTCAGCCTGGGGAGGCGACTCACAGTGGATGAAGCCGGCTAATTCGTATTCCGCAGCCATCCACGGGAACAGACTGGGATGGAGCCGAGGCTGATGGAAAAAAAACAAACAGTCGAGTCAAACTATATACCTGATCCCGGGAAAATAAATGGGCAAAGGTTTGAGTTTGGGGGGGTGGGGGGGAACCAGATACAAGTAGCATTTAAAATAGCTCTTTGATCTTTAAACTTCCTATAATTCAACAACTTAATCCAGTAACTGATTTTTGAATGGAGATGCCTTAGCCAGACTATTCTTACAAGGTAATGAAAAACTAAATGAATTTTGGGTTGAAGATCTCCGAAGCCACCATCTGCGGCAGGGGAGAAAAGACTTGTGCTCTGGAAACCTGCCCTGGAACAAGGAGGGGAGGGAAAGGGGGCATTCCAGCCTTCGCCCAGGACCAGAGTGGACTGAGATGGCTTAGAGGCCAGACAGCCACAACTTGCCATTGTGAGAAAGACCTTCCAGAAAGATGGGAAGAAGAAAACCATCACACCTCTCCTTCCTTCACAAATCTGAAGTAGCTCTGGTTTCATCTTACCTGCCTCTTGCTTTATTTTCTGTTCCAAGAGAGCTTTCCCATCTGTCCCGCAGCCGTGGTCCACATCCACCAACCTCGGGGCCCTGGCGCCACCTGCAGGGCTGAAAGAACAGTGGGGCAGTGCAGGCCCCAACCGCCCCCCCCCAACTCTGGCTCGGAGGGCCAACGAGTAGCAAGTTGGGTGGGTAGAGGGGTCCCAGGCCTGAGTGTGGCCGTGGTGCAGCCATGCCGTTCCATGGTCTGTCTCTGTGTGCTGCAGTGGTCTCGGTCTCTGGGACAGCGGCTGGTTTGCTACTGTGCCTGCATCATAAGCAGAATGACCAATCGTCAGAGGAGGCGCGTCATGCTGTATGGCCGGATGACATATGGGCCCCTCCCCTACTCGTGGTCACTGAGCCTTGTTCCATACGATCACACAATTTAGCCATGTGTAGAAATGAGTTCTCAGAAGAGAAGACGGTGCGTGTTCTACACCCAGGCCCCACAGAAGTCAGAGCGGAACGCTGTGCTGTTGGGGTTCAGCCACAGGGCAGAATATTGAACTTAGGAGCGGCTGCTTGCTCGAGCCCTGACAGGTGAGCATGCAGCCGTCTGGCAGAGTGGAACCTTGGCCTGTGTCGCTGCAGCAGGCTGTCACCAAGTTCCACTGCCATGAGGGAACCCTGGACCTCAGAAAAGAGGGCTGTTGGCTGAGGAAGCCAGAGAGGGGAGAAGAGTGCCCATTGGGTCAGGCAGCCCTTGGGGCACCCAGACACCAAGTCAGCACTCAGCCCTGGGAGGAAGCTTATTTAAGCCTCTTAGCAAAGAGCCCGTGATACTAACAAATGGAAGAATGTACTTTGCAAACAATGGTTGAAAACGTGTAACTGAGCTGTGTATGTACCTGGATCAGGCTCCAAGCATGGACCCCTTCGAAGAAGCCTATGTATTCCAGCTGCTGCACAAGCAGAACGGTCTTCCGGGTTGAACGGGGGACAGAAGGCACAGCTGGAGGATTAGCCTGCTGGCAGCTGGACCAGGAAATGGCAGGCCCTGGTACCCGGCTCCTGGCTCCTGGATGCCCAGCCTTCCTGCTTCCAGGGCCGACTGTGGGAATCCTCATTTCCATAAATGCAAATAGAGCCTGTCTCCAGCCAAACCCTCTTCCTCCCACAAAGGCTGTTTCCTGTCTCCACCAACTTAACATCAGATCTAATACCTACATCCTTTTCTCTTAAAAAACCAAAAGAAAGCGCACGCCCTCTCCACCAGCCCCGTCTTGAGAGCCGAGCAGCCTCCCCAGTCCTCTCTCCTGCCGCCATCAAGGGCCACGAGGCCGCTCTCGCTGGTGCTCCCACGTTGGAGGCAGGGGCCCCAGGCCTGCTCCCCATTCTCCTGCCTTCTCACGTCCCCAGGAAAGAAGGAATATCCTTTTGGAGAAATAAAAACTTTGTCAACACATGCAAGCCTCGCTGGTGTCTGTTTTTGAGTCAGGGAAGGAACTGGAGCTCTGTCGCTGACCGGTTTTTAGAACAAACCTACAGTCCGTCATAACAATGGAAACCTTTGTAGGAAAACAGACCATTGGCAAGGACACTGAAGACCATAAAATATAAACAGTGTGAAGTAAACTACCCTGGTTCCTTTCACAAACATGGAGTCAGCGGTAAGGCAGGTAAAGCCCACACCGTGTACTGAGAAGCTTCCTGGCTTCGACCAGGCTCCAAAACGGGGGAATAGAGCTGGAAAGCCCCGTCTGGCCTGGCCGTCTGGATAGAAACCAGAGAAAAGGCTGTTAACAAGGTTCCTGCTGGTTGGGAGTTCAATCAGAGCTGCCCTTTCCATTTGTGATACCAAAAAACGCAAAACCAAATGTACTATTCCTGGGGACACAACAAAATGACCTTTTTTAGGGGTTGGGAGGGAGGCCAAACAGGAGAGAGTTCATCTTATAACTTTCCTGAAGCAAAGGGGGAAAAAAAAAACAAAAGCAAACCACCACCACGTGGCTCAACTTCAAACTGGTCTTATAAAGAACATTTTCATGGTAGGTGGGAGGTTGAACGCAGGCCTGTTAGGACTGGCGCAGCCTGGACGTGTGCCAGTTTATAAGTACCAATGGGGAAAAATGGCGGCCTGCGCCAGAAAAACCCATCCTGGTAGGACTGCTGCTGAGAAGCCACACAGAACAATGCCCAGCAGAGGTGACGGGGACAGTGGCTTAGCCCTTGAGGAGAAACTGTGCTCTCTCTGCAGCTGGTGCTGAGTGACCATGGGCCTCAAGAGGGAGAGATGAGGATAAGAGAAGCTACCCAGTCCCAGAGCTGCCCTCACCGAGTGCCCGCCCCTTCTGGAGCGCTCACCGGCCCACACCAGCTCTTTGCAGCGAGAGCTCCCTCATACCGTAAAAATTATTACACAGTTTTATTCTGAAGAACATTTTGCATTTTAATTAAAAAAAATTTATGTCAGGAAATAGTCATTTACAAACCTTCAAGTGTTTTTGCCTGGATCTGGAGTAAGAATGTCTTAAGAAGAGGTTTGTAAGGTCTTCATAACAAAGTATTGTTATTTACAAAAAAAAAAAAAAACCAAAAAACAAAAAACAAACCCAAAACATTAACAGGTTGTCTAGGTAATATTTAAAAATTTTGAACCAAAAAACTGCTAATTGTCTTCTTTTTTTTGACTGCAGGGAATCCCTGCCAAGGTAACTTGACAAAGTCGGCATGATTCCTTGAACAGAAAGGGAAGCCTTGGTGGGTCTCGTGGTCCACAAGTGGGTTTTCATCAGGAAGCACAGCCAGACCGTGCATATGTTCTAATGAAAACTTCAGCCCTCATTCAGTTGCATATAAAAGCCCTCAAAGAGAACACACAGTAAAGCAGTGTTGGGTAAAAAGGCAACAATACAAATCGAACAGACCCGACATTCTAAGCCTGCAGATCACCGCTTTGCCCCTCCGCCCCCCCTTCCCCAGCACCCCTATTTAGAGACCGGCAGCAGCATCCATCCTCTGGGAGCGGGGGCAGAGGGACTTCATGCCCCTGTGCGATTCTTTCTACACCAGAGATGCAAAAAAGGTCTTGTGCGGGCAGCAGGGATGCCGCTGTGAATGCCACAGGGTCAGAGTCACCAGCTCGACCGACGGGACGAGCTTATCAGAGGGTCAGTAAAATCAAAGACAGGTGCGGCCCGTGGTGGACCGAAGGTACACTGTCAAATCCTGGAACTCTTGCCCAAAGTAAAGGTTGTTAAGGAGTCATCTGGTATATCTTGTGTAAAGGTAGATTTAGAGTGACTCAAAATATTTTTTAGAAAAAATCTCTAGTGTCAAGTTCTTTTGAACTTAAAATTTCATCCCCAAAAGATTTTCACGGAATAGATGAGAATTGGCTCTATTTCTCCTACTTCTGTACAGCCCAAGTAAAAATGCTAATAATACCTAGATTTCAGGGAACTACAATTATTAGGACCCATGGATATTGCTGCAGTTCAAATACGGTACAATAATTACAAAATATAGACCATCTCTTTACAAATACAAATTATAGTATATTACAAGTCATGTACAGTAAATCTATAATTTTTAAACAAACTAGCGTATCTAAGTTTACCTGGTTGCGAGTGCATGATTATTCCAGTTTACAGTTGCCCTTGAGCTGACAGTCAGAAACCGACTGAGTGACACTCTCTTTTGTAAACTGGGGTCACATAACAGAAAACCTCATGTATAAGGTCCTGCTCCCCTCTCCAGATGACGGCTGGTAGGTAGGTCCTGATTCACACACTGTATTTCAGAACAGCTAAACAGAAACCAGGAAGCAGTGTGTTTGGGAGGAAAGGGTTTAAAAATGGATATGCTGGGCCCAGTGAATGTCTGATATGCTAGACCAATGGCTGAGGTAATGACACAGGTGTGGTGATCGTCATCACCTTGACCTTCCCCACCGTGCCAGCAGGTGGGTGGGCACAGGGGAGAGCCCCGGGGGCGCGCTGGACAAGTGGGCAGGGCTTGTCCCACCTCCTCACAGGTCCTCCCCTCTGAGGGCTGGACCTGCTGCTTCCCACAGCTGAGGCTGGGCACGGGAGCACGGCTGTCCCCTACCAGGTTTATGGCTTCCGTGAGGCATGACATCACTTGTACAAAAGTCTAATTGAATATGGACTCCACACTAGTGCCTAACCTTTCCTAACTACGAGGCACTTTTTCCCTGGCCCTCCGGTGCCCCACCTGAGGCCAGAGCCAGTCTGCCCCTCCCTGGGGGCTACAGGGTGGTGATGCAGATCATTTCATCTGCCAGGTCCTCCTCATCTCTTCCGGGGTCGGGCTCTTCATCGCTGTAGCCTGGCCCGAAGTCCTGGAGCTCATAGTCCTGCCGGTGGGAGACAGGGCCCACACCCCCGTTGGCCCGGGGATGCACCGTCCCGTTGAGCAGGTTGCTGGCTGCACTCTCCATCTCGTCGATGGTCAGGTCGCAGGCATCGGCGATTTCGTGTTTTGTTGCCGATACAAATTTTGGGTCCCTTGCATACCGTCCTAAGCCTTCAGATATCAGGACCTGTCCGGGACAGAGGATCGACAGCATGAATGCGTTACAAGCCTTTGCCGGGAAAATGACAGAGGAGCCCCCTCAGGCACTAACCGCACGACGTGCTTTTGGGACTCAAGCCAATCCCGTTCGCTAGACCTCACAGGTGACAAAATGTGAATGGCTTGGAAACGTCACAGAGTTTGAACGCTACATATGGCCCAACAAGAGTGAGCCCCACTGGGGAAAAGATTTCAGTAGGAGCTGGTAATATCTGCAGGCCCAGTGCATGTAATCCTAGGTACAGCTCCGTTAGGAGAACAGGCAGTGGCAGTTTTCTTACACTCGCGCTGTATGGACCATCTTTGCTTCCGAGGAATGGGCGCGATCCAGAGGAGAAGGGACCCAGCTCGGCTCCCGAGCCCCCCCACCCTCAGAACCACCATGGCACCTGCACATCCCCCTCTGCTGTGCCGGATGGCACACTCACCGCCTCCACCAAGCTGTCTGCGCTCCTCTGCTTATCACTGTTCTTGTTGCGGAAGCTGCTGGGGACAGTCAGGCTGGCTGGTGTGAACGTTCGGTACGAGATGCCAGGCTCGTCCGTGTACCAGGAGCTCCGGTGCAGGGACGGCAGGCTGCCGTTGACCTGGTCCAGGGCCTCTGGCCGCTCCACCTGGATCAGGGGCGCGTAGCATGGCGTCCAATCCCGGTACGGAGGGGTCGCCGGAGGGGTGGCCCATGACCGGGTTGAGTGGCTTGGTGAGTACTTCTGGGCTTTACTGGAATCCAGGCCCGCAACTGCCATGATCTGGGGAGAGACGAGAGGAGGCGGGGCCAGAGGTCCTCAGGTGCGGGCCCCAGGCCTCCCCACGCACACCAAGCAGGAGGCACTGATGTACGGGGGTGGCCACGGATAAGGGACAAGGACTTGAAAAGGACACAGGCAGTAAAATCTGGCTTTCTGGCAGACTGTTTTCAATTTCCCCAAATCCATAATGCATTCTCATGACTGTTCTTAAGGAGGCATCAGCCACTAATTCGTGAAATTGCGGCCGAGCAGTGGAGAATTAGGGAAGACGTTCACCCTGGGCTGTATGAACACACCACCCAGTCTACTCTCGGTTTAAATACGGAAGGACACGAGGGGCAAACGAGTCCTTCCCAGCCCTTGGAAGGAACACAGTCCTCTTTCCTGTAGTGCCATTCATCACACTGGCCAGCCTCCAGTCTGCTCTGGAGCTCTGGGCACAAGCCCTGCTTCCCCCGCCCCCAGCTGTGCCCCAGCAGGCACCCCGGCATTCCCTCTCTGCATGGAGGGCCACGGAGGCCCGTGACCCAACCGGAAGCCAGGGCCACTCGCGGGAGGCAGTGCAGACACAGATCTGGCCCTCATGGGGGCCGGACAGCAGAGGGAGGGGCGTTCGCACGCACATGCCCATGGAGACTTCCAGGCCTACTTGGTTCATGGCATTTGATGGCTGGGCCTTCCCACGCCTTGTCCTTCCACAACAAAGCAGGACACGAATAAAAATTAATATAAAAACTGAAGGCAGAAAAGTGACAAGTTGGCGGAGAGACCTGAATGGAACACCTGAAATGGAAGCTAGTGCTCGCGTGCTCAGGATGCTGGCAGTAAGCAAGCTGGGGGTGAGCTGGCTCTGCACATTTATGGACCGGGTGCTCCCCGCACGCTCCCCGCACGCCTTCCGGCCCCTGACACACGTACACAGTGGACTGCATCTCTGATGTGCTCTTTGCAGGAGGAAAAAGCGCCCTCTTCTTGCCCTTGAGGCAAAGCTCTGGTGAGTGGGCTGCAGCCCCACCCTCCCTCCAGGTGCTGGGCTCCCCCCTGTCCAGCCACCTCACCATGGACAGGTCCTTCTCCCTGGACCGCACTCTGTGTCCCAGGGTCAGAGGCTCACCCACCCGTGACCATGGCGCCCTGCCCACAAAGGGCTCTACAGACATGTCTTAATGAAGGAACCATGTCTCAGAGCAGATAAAGGGCAGCACTGACTGTTCAGGATCAGGCAAGCGGCCACCACTCCCTGGGTCAGGGACTGTACCAGAACACAGTGTGCACCATGGCCAAGGGCCCAGCTTGGGAAGCTGGCAGCCTTGGATTCATAGGTCAACACGGTCACGCACCTCCTGTGTGAGCTCAGACATGTCACCTACCCTCTCCCTGATATTCGCTCATCTGTGAAATGGGGTTCGTGATAGTATCTATTTGGCAGGGTTGCTCCCGGATTGAACCAGAGTGTCTGTGAAGGTTCTCTCCTTCCCTCCTGCTGCTGGCAGCCCAACGGGGTGTCCCGAGGGTGGGTCCCACACAGGCGGCCCCTCAGGCCTGTGGTGTCAAGGCCAGGTGGCCCGGCTCACCTGTTGCTGCATCAGGTGCAGAGGCAGGGCTGTGCGGTGGGGGAAGGCGGGGGATGGCAGGACCTCCTCCTGGCTGCTCTGCCCACGCAGGCACTCGAAGTTGAAGGAGGATCTCCGGTGGGCTGAGAAGTGAAGCACAGCGGCAGCTGTGAAACAGGTGCTCTGTGGGGCCCCCGGGGCTCTGGGGTCAGGGTGGGCCCCTGGACACTCGACGGGGGGGGCCCAAAAGGAAGCAAGTCACACGTCCAAGGAAAAGCATTAGGTAGTGAGGTCTTGGAACTTTGGGAGGATGAAGAAGCTGCCCAACTGAGGGATGTTTTTAGTAGGTGTAAGTTGGTTTCTTGCAAATGTAGTGCCTGTTCTCATGGGATGGAGCTGAAGGCTCCAGAGGGCACCTGTTCTGACTGGACGCCCCTGGCCCTGTACATACACCGTGCGGAACACTGCATTTCAGGTCAAGAACACAACGTCGTTCTAGAATTCTGCAAACACCTGCTGCTGCCCCCTTCTCTCCCTGCAGGCATCCTGCGTGTCTCTGGGGCCCCCGGCGTCTTGCCGGTGCTCCCCCGCTTATACCTGCTTTAAGGGGAGTGACTTGCTATCCGCTCAACCAGGTAAGAGGCAAATCCTTTGGTTGGGGAAGACCCAGCTTCTCTAGCACTGAAGGCAAACCCGGAAAAGAACACCTCCGATGTTAGAGAACACGGCTGTCTTGTTATCAGCTACTCAAAACAGAGGCTTGTGCACAGGCTGAGCAATGACAAGAGATCCCGAGTTTGTGGCTTCACAGGACACAGGGCCCAGGAGGTCGGTCTGAATTCTGGGCCCCCAAGCACAGGCCAGAGGCTCCCCGCCGACCCCGGCCCCGGGACAGGTCCACCCTCGAGGGTGCTGGCCCTAGGGACACGGCATGGGGGCCTTACTGACAGTTTGCAAGGCAGGAGCCAGGTCTCCTCAGCCTCTGCTTCCTAAGATCCCAGGGCATTTCTCATGCCCCGGCAAAACTCCACACCCTGGAAAACGGCAGGGCCGAGCCGCCCAGGCCTCCTGGAAGTCGCACGGAGCGGCAGGAACCGGGTTCTGTGAGAGCTCTAATCTAAAAGTGTGGGAAGACTGGGCTGAGCCCGGGGATGGCCCTGCCCAGTGCGGGGAGAACAGACAAACAGCCCCGGCCACGCAGGCTTGGGGCACCCCTGTGGGGCGTGCTGGGTCGCCACCGCCTCCTCAAGTCGCCTCCGTGGGACACAGATTGCTGCACAACGGCTGCTGTCCTCATCAGACAGCCTGGCCTCCCTGCACCACACAGGGGCCTCCCTCGTCAGCACACCCTTGAGGACCCTCCTAGGGGCAGCCGGCCAGGGCCAGAGGCTCGGAGCCAGGAGGGGAAACCACCATCTCTCTCATTCGGATAGTGCCTTCCGGTTTTGAAAATCCGTCCCTGGATACACTGATCATCTCGTCTGCTGTGCACAACCAACTCTGACAGAGGAAGGAATTCTACTGCTACTGAGAACACAGGCAGAAGACTTCCCCCTTCCCCCGCCCAAGGTCAGAAGCGATGGGCAGCAAAGATAATAAAATACGTTTTATTGATTTGCCCTTACAGATAAAGAGGGCATCTGCTCTGGCCCACTGGGGTTCCTCACTTCACTCGGGTGGTGCCTCTGAATGGTGGGCATTAATGTGGCCACTGTAGGGGGACACAGGGAGGGTCCAGAGAGGGCAGGGCACTCCACAGACAAGGGGGCCTCTGCCGGGCTCACCCGCATGTGTCGCCCATTCAGGAAGCTCAGAATTGCTCTGTTCGGCAGCACGTGTTTGGGGCTGCAGAATGAAATATTAACTATGGAAATGGGTCTGATGACACTCCCCAGCAGGGCTGAGACTGCAGCAGAGAGGAGAGGGCCCCAGGCACCACCCAGCTGGACTGGTTACTGCACACAGAGTCAGCCGACTCAGAGCCAATGTGTCTTGGCTATTTTTGGTTGCTGATTGGAGTCCTGCTCAGAAATATGCTTCATTCCTCAGAAACACCAGGAATGGATATATTCTTTAACCATCACCAAAATGCCCCCATGTGCAAAATCTAACTGCCCGGCCAGGAGCTGGCAGGGGTCACGGCGTCATTTCTTACCCTGGGCCAAGTCCCTCACTGGGGGGTGAGCCACATCTCCTGCAGCCCTGCTTAGGCCACCGGCGTAAGAAAACTAGGTGGGGAACAGCCGGCCCCCTGCCTCTTCTCAGCGGAACGGGACTCCTCCAGCCCCAGGATGGGGGCGCGGACCCAACACCTGCCCCATGAGCAAGGGCGCTGGCTGACACATGGTAAGAGGGGAAGCCCCTGGTGGGAACTGGGCAGAGACGGACACCAAGAGTCCGCAGGGGCCCCCCAGAGGCCGGTGGGGGGAGGTGGCGCTTGGTGGGACAGGCCTGGGCTCAGGTCCAGCTCTGCACCGGGGTTGCTCACTTCCACCCTCTGAGGGTCAGTTACCCCGTCCACAGAGAGGGCCTGACAACCTCATGCTGCACATCATGCCTACCCCGCATGATGAACCCCAGGGTCCAAGGCAATGATAATGTGCACGAAAAGCCCCTCATCAGATGCCACGTACTGAGCACGCTTAGGACCACAGGCTGCCTTTCTCCGTGCTCAGAGTCAAGAATGGCCCAGAAGTGGTTTGAGCTCAATCACGTGGGACACGGATGAGCCAGAAGGGAGAGCCGATACCGATAGGGTCCCAACCAGGGGGCTGGTCTTGTGGACGGAGGACAGTCCCTAGCACTGTGCAACCACATCTGTCACACTTCCTCGGGGCTGGGGATGGGGGAGGAGCATACTGTTCTCTGGGAGGCTTCACCCAAAACAAAAAATCTGGCCTCACATGTCGGGGTGGGAGGTAGTAGGCGTCTCCTTGGAGATCTCCGGGAATCATAGCAAACAGGCGAGTCCTCATCCTCCAGGAAGCCTTGGGGGTGATGGTAGCCTCGGGGCCGCTCGAAGTCCCAGCTGCCACCTGGGTATCGGCTGTAGTAGCTGTAGTTTTGCCTGGGGTGGGGGGGGTCAGAAAGGCGAGGAGAGAGGGTAAGGGGCACATGAGATCTTCGTTAACAAGCCCCGTCTCTTAGCTCAGACAGCCCCATGGCTACAGTCCTCTCCCCAGCTTTCCTAGACACCCCGACTGGCTGAGAGCCAGGCAGTCAGTCCTCAGCTTCATTGAAGATTCAGGGCCCTGGGAGAAGCTGGTCTCTCTGCCTGCCTCTCGGGCAGTCTGGGTGTCGTACAGGCGGGCCCTTGCCGCAGAGTATGAGGGGCAGGAGACAGCCAGGCCTGCTGACATCAGCCCGAGCCACAGTGCTGCTCACCTGGCCCCGGTCAGCGAGCAGGCATCCTCAAAGCCCTCCTCACCGCTGAAATACTCCTGCTCCTCCAAGCAGCAGGAGTCCCTGAAGTAGCCACGGATCTCTGGATCTTCCCGGCAGATAGTGGGGAACTGCTCATCCCCCGAGTCAGACCTGCAGTGGTGAGAGAGGGCCCGAGCCCCTGAGCACCCAGCTGGGCCTTGGTGCATGGCTAGCACCCCTGGCCCACGTGCCCGCGGCTTCTCCCTGGTGTCCCCGGGACTGGACTGTTCAGGTCTCTGGTGGCAGAGCTGTGCGTGTGAGCACGTGGGTGTGCTGGGAGGGGGCCGCTCTCTCAGTGCCTTGCACAATGCCGGTGCCAAACCACCATGCCCAGGGGGCCATGGAGCCAAAGGAGTGGTGTCATTTGGTGGAACAGAACAAGGAAATGGACCTAGAGGCCTGCAGCGATCAGCAGTCCCAGGGAGAAGCCGCTGGGCTCCGAGGCCACCTGCTCTGATCCTTGCTCCTTCCTCCTCTGGCCCATGTGACTTCAGGGTCTGGAACAAAGAGGCTCCCTGACCAGTTTCCCACTACCTCTGACCCAGGAAAGGCGACAGGAGTTTGGGATACGGTGTCCCCAGGGAGACTCACATGCGTGACACCTGCCAAGTTTTCAAAGACGGCCCTGCCCACATGGCAAGACTGTCATGCTATCTCCCTGAAAGCCGCTATCCTGGCCTCAGTCCTCAGGAAAGCCCACCAGGCTCTGTTACATCGACTCTCTCCAAAGAGAGGACAGTGCTCCCTACAAGTTCTTCATTCTCTCACGTCGCTCCTGAGCAGCAGGTTGCACTTGACAGAATTAAACTAAGAGACCCAGCCTCTCTGTCCCCAACAAAATGATCATCCCGCTGACAATACAACCCGGGTCAGCAAATACGGAGCAGGATACACTGCAGATATGTTGAGGGCTGCAGGGGAGACAAAGGAGAAGACCCGGTCCCTGGTCTTCAGAGGTTGGGGTCATGCTTTTATGAAGCCCCCACAAGAGGTTTGAACCCAGCCAGCAGCGGCAGGTAGCACCAGCCTCCCAGGGCCAGGCACCCGGAAGCACACAGTGGGCTCTCCCTACATGGTGGTCACGAGGCGTGCCTGCAGGGGCTAGCCCATGGGCACACTAGCATGTGAATACTAGTCCTTGGATGATGACACAGTCTATGCACATATGGACCTAAAACCTCCTTTGCTTAGAAAGAAACTACCAGCGCGCCTGGGTGGCTCGGTTGAGCACCTGACTCTTGGTTTCAGCTCAGGTCATGATCTGAGGGTCATGAGATCGAGCCCCTGTGTCGGGCTCTGTGCTCAGCAAAGAATCTGCTTGAGTTTCTCTCCCTCTCCCTCTGCCCCTACCCGCCGCTTGCACATTCGCTGTCTCTCTAAAATAAATGAAATCTTAAAAAAAAGAAAGAGAAAGAGAGGAGGGGATGGGAAGGAAAGGAGGAAGGAAATGAAGGAAGGGAAGGAAGGAAGAAAGAAGCAACTACCTCTGCCTCTGGAGTCCACAGCCCCGAGCTCCACTCCTATCAGGTTGCTGCCTGAAAGGAAGTTCTCACCCCTCCCAGCACTGAGAGGCCAGCTGGTTACACTCACAACACAGAGTATTTAACACACACAGGCAATGAGCACATACCTAATGTAAGTTTCATAATAGCGGGTTCTATCCAGGAAAGGCATAACATGGGAGGGAGGGAGGGAGAAGATAAAAGTTAAGTATTTCCAATAAAATTTAAAATGCAGATTATCAGGCTAGTTCCTAGAGCAGAGGTCAGCAAACTATGGTTTACAGGCCATATACCGTCCACGAGCTATGAACAGTTCTTACGCTTTTAAAGGAGTGCAAAAAAATCAAAGGAAGAAAAATATTACACCACGTGTGACCATGTGAAGCTCACATTGCAGTGTCCATAAAGTTTTACTGGGACACAGCCACACTCATGCATTTAAACAGTCTATGACTGCTTTCTCTCTACAACAGCAGAGCTCAGTCACTGCAGTGGAGCCTGTATGGTGCCCAAAGCCTAAAATATTTACCATCTGGCGCTTTACAAACGTTGCCAACCTCTGTCTCAAAGTATGTTGGCACCACTGGGGAAGGCAGAGTTCACAGCAACTGCTGTTATTTGAAGGGGCATCCCCTTTGGCAGGACACAGGATGGCTGGTGGCCCTTTATCCTTTGAGTTCATCACTGGCTAGTGCCTAATGAGGCCATGAGCTCATGGCACTCACGAGTTCGAGGGTCAGTGCCTCCTGAGCATCTCCCGTGTGTGCCAGAGCACCGGGGAGAAAGAAGCGCCTTGTGCAGACACTACATCACCAAGTGCAAACACATTTTAAAGGTTACCTTTTAATACTGGACCTTCTTGGAGGCTCCCGGTCATGCTTGTGGGAGGAGTGATGCCCATTTTCAGACATATGCTCAAGGTTCCCCATGCTGGGCCGCTTTCCAGGGGTAGCTTTGGACATATTGGCATTATTGAGATTGGCATTTGTTGAGCTGGGAGCTTGCTTTCCTATGGAATTATGGTTATGATGGCTATGACACCCCGAATTTCCTGCTGGAGGAAACAGCGGTCTCTCAGTATCACTTGCAGGTGGAACTGAAGGCCTTTGGACATGCAGGGGACGGTGGGTGGTATTGGTCTGCTGAAGGGGGTCTCTCCTATCACTATTAACATGATTGACATGGTTTCCAAGCAGGGCACCATTTCTCTGCAAAATAATGGGAGACAACACCAGGTAATTTAACAAGTATTTGATGCAGGCTAGCTTTGTTAGGTAATTTTTTTTTTCTACACGAAACACAAATTCTAGGTAAGCTCCGTAGGATCCCTGTAAAAACAATCTGAGTGTCTCACAGATCAGGGTGGATGTGTCTGTGTGGCAGCTGGTCCCCCTGAAATGAGGAAGGTTACCAATCCCTGAGCTGGGGAGCAAGCTCTTGGCTGTCACACGAGTGTGCTCTTCACGTCGTTCCAAGTTGAGGTGACTTATACCCAGCAGGGCTGACTGGCAGCCCCCAGCAGTTGAGGCTGGACAGGAGGCATGCTCTCTGGGCTGGGGGTGCTGAGGGCCAGCCCAGGGAAGAAGGGGGTAACACAGGTGGGCAGCTGCTAGCGGGACTCAGGAGGCTCAGCCACACTGGCCAAGCGGCTGTGGCCAGGCTCCTCTGAAGCTGCCAGTGTGGGACAGAGGGGCCAGCTCAGGGCGGGAGCACGCCTGGCCCTAGAGGAGGTACCGAAGGTCTGCTGTGGGGATAGCATGGTCCGTGAGCCCCTCTAGGCCCGGGTGCTGGCGTGCATTCTCCAGGTTCTTTTGTGGATCACCGACTGCCCAAACTGAAGTCCTGCCCCGCTATCTCCAAGTGGCCAGTGTGTAGCTAGGCGTGGAATAATTACTTTGAACACATCTTCTTCTTCTTCTCGTTTTGTTTCCTCTGGCTCGTCATCTTGCAAATCACATGATATAGCACGCCGGATTTCTGGCCCAATGTCATGCAGTGTCCTTAATCCTGCCTAGATCAACAAAAATGGCAAAACGGATTAGACAATATGGGTGCGCTGGGCCCGGCCTGGGTCCTGGCTCTGCTCCTGCCTGATTCAGCTGTGGTGAGGGAAGCTTTCTCCAAAGGGCAACCCAGGGGAGTGACTACTCGTGTGAATGTAACTGAAGGGTCCCCGAAGCCCCGGGGTTGAAGGGTGTGGTCAGGAGTTCCAGATGGTCCTAGACTGGGGTGCTCGAGGCCTCCGACCCAGTCACTTCCTTCTCACATAGCCCAACTGTCAGGGAACAGTGTCTGCCATGGCCAAGAGCACATGCCTGCATCCAAATGACAGTCTACAGAAGGAGGGCCTGCAGAGTCCTCTCCTAGAGCCCCAGAGAGGGCAAGGAGCACAACCCATCCACTTGATGGGGAAGGTGGCCAGGACTCACTGACTATGACCTAAGTATGGGAGTGAGGGGGCGAGCTGACCAAGCAGCCAGCAGGGCTACCGGTTCTGCAAGAAAGCCATGGGAACGAGGGAGGGACAGCACACACTGCAATCACCAGCACATTCAGGACCATGACGGAATGGGTCGACACGCACACAGACCCGGGCCGCTGTGCATCGCCAGCCTCCGTGGCTATCCGTGGTGCCCTGGAGGGTCAGGCCAAGAGCTTGCCAACAGCTGGATCATCCTCTTGAAGACCACAACACATTGAAAAGGGCTCACCAGCCTCTGGAGGCTGTGTGGGACCCACCAGGTGACCCCTCCTGGCCCCTCGCAGACACAGGCCTTTGCCTGAGGCCCTCACAGTTGGCTTTCCTTACACTGGGCCCTGGGTTCCACTGCAACAGGCCCTGGGAGACGCCCTTTTGTTGTTCCCAGCTTTGTTAGGGAGACACCAGAGATGCTTCTGCTACCCACAGGGGAGGAGTTGCTGGCTCTGAGAAAGTTCTGTTCTGACCATCAATTTGAAGAAAAACAGCATGCTGACTTGCAGACTAATAGGGACGGTATAGCCACTTTATCCTTTTCCACAAAAAGACTGGCATCTGAGAGAGGCATTTCCTCCCTGCCCCCAGGCCTAAGTGCTCCCTGTCCTATACCTGGGCAGGACCCTCTCACTTGCCTGCAGTCCTTCTGCCCCTCGGCAGCCACAGCGGAGACTGCCTGAGCCCTGGCTGCACAGGGCTGATCTGCACACTACATCACGGTGGTCAGCAGGGAACAAGTGGGCCTAGAAGCAGGGTGTCAGGGGAGGGGACCACTTCCTGGCCCTTCCTCCACAACCTCCAGCAGCGGGGAGTGGGGAGGGGAGGGGATGCTGGGGATGGTGGCCACGGTCTGGCCGGGTCCCACAAGGCTGGCCCCCCTGGTGTGGGAGTGCTCACAACTGGTCTTCCGCAGAAGCCAGTGGTGGTGATGGTGGTAATTTAGAATGTAAAGTCCTACAGGAACTTCCTAAGAAGCTCCTGTGAAAACAGCCTCCTCCTCCATAGGAGACAATGCTGTTAAAAATGATACACCAGGCTAGGTCTGATTTGATCCATTCTCTGAATAGAGGAGCAGGGCCAGGGGTAGGGTGGGGGGGGTCCTTTCCATTTCATGAATTGTGGGTGTGCAAGAGCTGCCTGGATTCGGAGCTCTCAGGTTCCTGGCGAGGAATGCTGTGGTCTCGTTGGGGAAAGACACACGTGTCCTGCCACCAAACCCAGAATAGTTCGTGGTATGGTCAGTGAGGGTACCTCTCACTCTCCTGTCCCTCTGACCACAGGCACGAGCTGCATGCGCACAAGCATACACATGCACGCTCATGGAGGTGCACACACACACGCTTTCCCTCGCTCAGGATCCCCAAGTCTGGCACATCTGAGCCAGGGGAATCATCTGGCTTAGACGCGGACCCACTTGCCATTCTCTTGGAAACATCGAGAAGGCGACGCTAATGTCCAATGGGGGAGAGCTTTTCACACAGAGCTGCGGGCCTGTGCAGGAAGGTCCAGCCCAGCAGTGTTGAACAGCCTGCAGCTCATTCGTTCAGTGTTTCCCAGAGCACAGTCATCAAGGGAAGATTAGCTAAGCCAGGGTTTCATTGTCTGGTTTTGGATCACTGGAGGAAAGGCAGATCTGAGGCTCCCAAATCAAAGACCAGGTTTGAGACACCTGCTGTCGTGTCTATAAGATAAACATAGGCGACAAAGCACTAAGTCAACACCCCCAGGTAAATTATATATATGAGCCCATGTCACAAGGCACCACAGGCTTGGAATACCCCTGAGTTTGAAAACAAACAAACAAACAAACAAACAAACAAACAAAAAACCAGATAATCCTATTCACTGTCATTCAACAATTTGGACTAGGTCTGATTAAAAGAAATAGAAAACTATTTATTTGGATAATTTTTAACATCATCCACTGTTGGCGGGTTGACATTTCACTGAAATACACATATAACATAATTGCATAAGAAAAACAAAAACGGTCTCCAGCAGGTCTTCGATGGTACACAAGATCAGGAGAGTGTGGTGAATAGACACAGGACAGAGAATTTGTTTGCAACATAAATCATGGAGAAAACTGAGAGGCGGCTCAAGAGGCCCCTTCTGAGGACAAATAATGACAACATATTTATTAAAGAGACACCAGAGGAGGATAAAAAGCATCACTCTTCCTCGGCATGAAAGCAGAGGTTTAGAAATCATGGTTACGTTTTGCTCACTCCACGCAGAAAGAGACACATCTTCTAAGAGTCAGGGATTGACCCTGACTCTTTCACATGGGATCTGGGGAAGGACGCGGGGGGCAGGGGGTGCCAAGGGGTGGTGGCAGGGGTAGGGTGTCTGCCAGGGGAGGGTGCCAGGAGTGGGGTATCTGCCGGGGGGGTGTCAGGGGTGGGATGTCTACTGAGGGTGTGTGTCAGGGGTGGGGTGTCTACTGGCAGTGGGGTGTCAGGGGTGGGTTGTCTGCCAGGTCTGGGAAGGCGGGAAACAGAGGTTCCCAAACTTGAACTGAAATGAAGCTTAAACACAGCACCCTGAATTTATTACATATCACAAAACATGATAATGAAATTTTTCTAGCACACATATCAAGCTAAAAGGTAGCTTAGGCTGCTCCAAAATTTCCATAGGCACGAGTTCTGATCCCAGAAAACTATCTTAAACTCTTGAAAAAATTATTTTTCCACAGCCCTAAGAAAAAGAACATTCTTTTCCCTTGAAATAAACACTTTACAATCAGTAAAATGAGCTATTCTTTCATTTTTCATATCGGTGTCTACCTCTATCGGCAAAATACTACTTTAATTTGAAACGTGGTCATTAGCACTTAAACCAACATAATTAAAGCTGTATAAAGTCATTCCATTAACATCACAGTAGAATTATGGTTTTGAATGAACACAGAATTGTTATAAAATAGAAACATTTTTGATTTAAGATGTCCAATCATATAAAATATTAAACAGAATCAAGCCTAGTTTCTGGTTGATTTTTAAATGCTAGATGGTATCATAAATATCTTTTAAAAAAAGAAATGTTGGCGCTTTGCCTGCAGACTGCTGCTTTAAATTTTAGACACCATTTAATTGGAATTTTATAGATATTTACTCTATAGATGATTAAGTCACCAAAAAAACAAAAACAAAAAAACAAAAACCAAACTACAAAATCTAAGTATCTCTGAAGCAATAGCATAAAAATATGGTATTTGAACATCAAATAGGAACATTCGTTTACCTTCCTTTCTCTTGCCCACTCTTAGGGTCAGATTTTCCTACCTGGGTGTGTGAGAGATGCTGCCCTGGTCGCCTTCCTAAGCTAGCTCCGTGAGACACACCAGGAGCTGCCGGCTCTCAGCGGCACAGCAAGCCCAGACAAAGGCCAGAACCCCTCCTGAACCTACTCTGTAACAGTGGAGATAAGAGATGTGAGTCTCCAGTCGGGCCCGGCCAGGCCATTCATCTCTGGATGCGAGTGCCAGGCGTTCAGACTCCAGCCAGCGAGCCCCTGTCCAGCAGAGCCTGTTCTCCCTCACAGGCTTCGCTCAGCCAGGCCTGGCCCTGCACACTCGTCTCCTGAAGGGCAAGTGCTGGTGAACCCTTTCGCAGGATTCAGCCCCTACCCAATCAGAGGGCACGGTTTCTGAACTAGCTCCATCAGAAGAACGAACTGGAGGTTCAGCTCGTATAGCATAAACCAGCCCATCTACAAGCTGTCCCCCACCGCCTCCGCATACACGCAGGCATACGTATCACACAAGGGCACACCTCTTCTTTTGTCCTCCTTTTCGTCCAGGGAAAATATGACAGTGTGGCTTTGTGTCCATTACGCACAGTTCTTGAGTCATGCAACCAGGGTGAGAAACATGAGCACGGCACTCCATGGGCCACCCACGGGGATTCTGACCCTCGCTGAAGTCAGCTGTAACGTCACCACAGAAGTTCCTCTTGGGGCTGTGCTCAGCAACACACATCAATTCCCCACCACTTTGAAAGGTTAAGGAAGGTTTTCTTAAAATTACCTAAAGGGACCAATGACATTTCCCTGCGAACGATCTCACAGAGCTCTCTGAGCAACCTCGATTCTTGGCTGAAGTTTAACACCAGAATCTGAAATTCCTGCAAGTTTCCTGATAACAGAGTATTACTTCAATTTAAGCTCAGCAGATGCCTTAAATCAGGAGCTCTATTCTGTTAGCATCTCTCCAGCTGTCATAACAATCTCCCATCCTTTACCCCACTACATCCCGAAAGGCCAGGATTATCCCCATTTGGTTGAGTGGGCTGCCCTACCTAGCGAAGACTCAGCTATGACTCAGGTCCCCAGGCCTGTGGTTCCCATGAGGCCCTGCTGGCCTCACCCAGGCCACCACCAAGACAAAGTTGTTGAGTCTACGGGAAAGAGGGCTGGGATCAAGTCTGAATTGTGTGCTCACTTAATGACTGTGACCCCACTCAAGTTTAACCTTCTTCCAACTAACTTAGCATAGCTCTTGTATCACTAAGGCCACATGGAAATGACCAGTG